TGTCCAGCCGTGGAAGATGCCCCCAGCTGTGGATGAAGTGTCCAGCCATGGATGACGCCCCCAGCCGTGGATGATGCCTGCAGCTATGGATGAAGTCGCCAGCCATGGATGAAGTGCCCAGCCATGGAAGACGCCCCCAGCCATGGATGACGCCCCCAGCCATGGGTGACGCCCCCAGCCAGGGATGAAGTGTCCAGCCGTGGAAGACGCCCCCAGCTGTGGATTAAGTGCCCAGCTGTGAATGAAGTCCCCAGTCGTGGATGAAGTGCTCAGCAGTGAATTAAGTCCCAAGCAGTGGATGATGCCCCCAGCCATGAATGAAGTGCTCAGCCGTTGATGAAGTAAGTGCCCAGCCGTAGATGACGCCTCCAGCCGTGGATGAAGTCCCAGCCATGGATGAAGTACTGAGCCATGGATGACGCCCCCAGCTGTGGATGAAGTGTCCAGCCCTGGAAGACGCCCCCAGCCATGGATGAAGTGCCCAGCCATGGAAGACGCCCCCAGCCTACAACCGGGGGAGGGCAGGGGTTGCCTGCTACCTCCTGATCTACAGTAAGAGTCAATAAGCAGGCAGGTGAATACTGAAAATGATTCATCCTGCTGGGGTGAGAAATACATGGTTTCTTTCAATAGGGTAGTAAAAGCCATCTTTTCCAACCCATTTATATGACTCAAGGCCCATCTCAATTTCAGATGTGGTTAGCCTCAATCCCTGATTCTCACCGACGTCTGTAATGTCTTCCATGGCCCAGTGCAGAGGAACACAGGTGCTGCCGTCAGACTGCCAGGTCCGATCCCGCCTCCGCCACTCACCCTGGGAGATCCCTTTAATCTAGGGGTCAACAGTGAAGATGGAAACGTGACTGCTTTTTAAAGTCCTAAAAGTTCAGAGGATGACTGTCAATTTATCCTGTACCCCTGGGCACACACCAGGAGAACTTTGTCTCCAGGTTCAAGTCAGTCCCTGTGAGAGGGTTGTGTCCCTCAGATTCTGTTCACCATGGGTGGCACTTGATCCAACCCCAAACCTCTTTTGCACAAGCCCAGGGAGTGCTGACTAACCCAACCCAAAGACTGTGGTGTTTGGCAGAGACAGGAAGGGAAAGGCCAGGTGTTTTGGGAAAGATCCCCTTTAAATAACACAGCACCCTCGCAGCCCAAAGAGCCAGTTTTTACTATTATGGCAATCAACTTAGAAAAGACCAAACCCAATTTTACACATATTTCCTTTTTCTTTTTGATTTCATGCCCCCTCCCTCAGCCTCCCAGGCAGCATGGATACCCTAAAGTCCCTGTGAACCCTCTCCCATTGGATCCTATGTGGAATGTAGTTTTACCTACCTGAAAAGTCGTCCTCGGACAGGCTCTCAAGAACCAAATCTTTAGAAACACAAACATCAGGATAAGTCGTTAGAGAGAGGCCCACCCACTCCTCCTACTCCAGCTGAGGCCATGCTGCTGCACACAGCATCCCCCGGTGTTTCCTCTGGGCGCACAGATATTCCTACAGCCTCTCTGGACATTGTTCTATACTTGCAAAATCATTTGCTCTCACCAGACCCCAAATCCTCCTTCCCAAAAGGATTCCAGAATCAGGTTTCTGTATCCTAGAGACAGCGATTTTTCCCTCAGAAAGTGAGTTATTTAAAGGTACGTACCAGTCTCCATGACATATGGCGTCTGTAATTATAGAAAAGAAAACATTAGGGGGGTGAGATGGTGCCATGCATGTCACGCAGATCAGATATTCTCTCAACAACTTCAGAAAATTACAAGGGGCATAGTGATTGAGTCAAAGGTCGAAGTCCCCCAAAACTAGCACGGAGGACACCTATGGAAAAGGCAAGACCTTTTCCCACAGAATTTATCTTTAAAGTATATTTAGATTGGCAGTTTTATAATTCTTAATCCACGGGGGAAACTGCTGTGGAGGGAAACACTTCTGCATTGCAGTGGATCGCGGATGCTGCCATCTACCATGCCCCAGTGTGCCCGGCACGGGTTGGCAAGAGGCTGCCAATCAATACCACTGCACCAAGGGAATTGCAGAAGTCATTAATAATGCACACTGGCAGATGTTTTTATCTATATCTGATTGGAAAGAGGCCAGGAAAATAACATTTCTCTTCAAGACAAAGAAAAGTGTCTTACGTGGGCGTCTTGTTTTTTAGAGATATCTTCTCTGGCGTCTTTATTAGTGCTGCCTTCTACAAGATCTTCCACTTCGTCCTCGCTAGTGATGTCTTCTAGAACCCACTCGTTGTTAGTAATGTCTTCCACAACTTCTTCGTTGGTGATATCTTCCACAGCATCTTCATAAGGGATGTCTTCGTCAGCATCCTCAAGGGGACCTAGGAGAACACGGAGTCAAGGTCAGTGCCCTGGTGGTGCAGACTGTGAATCACCCATGGAGCTGGCTTGGTGTGGTGCATGAAGGTGGCTGGTCACAGCATAGGCCAAGCTGATGGTGGGCAGTCCTCCCGGGTGGACCTGCACTAGTGAAGCTAAGGGACATGACTTAGAACACTTTCTGCAGTGGGAATCAGTTTCCAGGTCCAGGTATGCATTATCCAGTGAAGTGGGGAAATATAAAAAAATGGAATTTGACAAATTCATGAAAAGCCTTCCAGGAGTACAAGTGTGATTTTTTTTTTTTTTTTTTGTTAACCACCTTACACTTGGCATGCATTCAGACATACAAAATATCTTTACAAGAAATCAGAAACTTTAAGTGTTGTCAGTTGTGTTAAATCTAACTTAGCTGTCAACATAAAGATGGCTGGGTATGGTGGCTCATGCCTGTAATCCAAGCACTTTGGAGGCCGAGGCGGGTGGCTCATGCCTGTAATCCAAGCACTTTGGAGGCCGAGGCGGGTGGATCACCTGAGGTTGGGAGTTCAAGACCTGCCTGACCAACATGGTGAAACCCCGTCTTAAAAAAAAAAAAAAGATTCTAAGATTCTATCTCATTTACTTTGTGGTTTCCAGAAAATCTAGCACATAGGAAGCAGACCAAAATGTTTTTTAAATGAAAACACAGAACAGGGGTAGGGGGGCTGGTAGGCAGATGGGGCTGCACTGATTATCTGAACGATCATAAAGTGCACAAAACCTTGGTCGGGTTAATGCTGAAAGTGCCTTTTGCTTGGGCTATTTTCCATTGCAGACGAAGGATGACCAAGAAGATGAGCAGGAGAGAAATGAGAAACACCAGCCTTTGCTTCGTAGCTAAAGGTCACCTTCTGTAACACAAAATGTCTACAAGTGGCCTTGAACTCTGCTGTGATTCAGTGACAGAGTTCCCTCATGTCTTCTACCCAGGTTGAAGTCCAGAGAAATTGCGACTGTCTTCTTTACAACTTGTAAGACCGAGCTGTTCTGCATTTACCTGTTGTGTGAGATTTACACTTGTTTTAAAGCAGCGTTTTGTTTCACCTGGGCTGGTGGCCACACACTGCATAGTCAGCCAATAGTAAGAGTCTCCTCATGGAGGAGGCTTGGGTTGAGGCGGAGGGTCTTTAACCCGCATGCACAAGCGAGCTGCCACGAGGGGATGGAAACCAGGCAACCAACCAAGTGCTGCACGGAGTTCCTGCCTGTCCCTCTCCTCACCATTTTCAGCTGGCAGGGCTTGAGCATTTTAGGGCTTGGGAAGACAATATTACTAAATCTACTACAAGACATCACCGATCCTTATGTGCTCCGGCCAGCTGCTGAGCAAATTAACTTCACAACTGAAGTGGGCTGCACTGGCCCACGTGGTCCCCCAGTCCTCTTAGAATTTGTGAGCTTGGGGCCGACTGGAGGGTGGACGGTGGGAGGAGGGGGAGGATCGGGAAAATAACTGATATTAGGCTTCACATGTGGATGATGAAATAATCTGTTATGACACACGTTTACATAACAAACCTGCACATCCTGCACATGTACCCCTGAACTTAGTATAAAAGTTTAAAAAAGGCTGGGCACAGTGGCTCATGCCTGTAATCCCAGCACTTTGGGAGGCCAAGTTGGGCAGATCACAAGGTTAAAAGATTGAGGCCATCCTGGCCAACGTGGTGAACGCCATCTCTACTAAAGATACAAAAATTAGCTGGGCATGGTGGTATGCGCCTGTAGTCCCACCAGCTACTCGGGAGGAGAATCGCTAGAGGCAGGAGAATCGATTGAACCCTGGAGGCAGAGGTTGCAGTGAGCTGAGATTACACTACTGCACTCCAGCCTGGTGATAGAGAGAGAATCCATCTCAAAAAAAAAAAAAAAGTTAAAAAAAAATAAAAGGATCTGTGAGCTGACCCAAATTCCTGGGGATCTTTGTGCTTTTTTATTTTATTTTATTTTATTAAGACGGGGGTCTCACCATGTTGGTCAGGCTGGTCATGAACTCCCGACCTCAGGTGATCTGCCCACCTTGGCCTCCAAAGTGCTTGGATTACAGGCATGAGCCACCGCGCCCAGCCCCTCTTTGTGCTTTTGACACTGATGGCTCTGACCGTCTGTGGGGAGATGTGCCTATAACTGCCCTGGGTTGTGTGACCGCGGAGGCCACCTTAAAATGATGGGCAGTGTCTGTGACATCTTAGGCTTGGTGCTTTAGGGCTTATACATGAATGCTGGACTCCCTGCGTGGTGGCGAACACCCCATGACTAAGAGCATGTCACTAGTTGCCAGCGTCAGCACGGGCCCACACTCCTGGGTTCGTGTTTTCACTTTTTCATTCAGGAACTCGGGAGCTGGGATCATCCATTGGCCCTTCAGGGTCTCTACCTGAGCAGTGGGGATAATAAACCAGGCCCAGGGATGGCTCTGGTGAGGGTGGAGGAGTCACTGTACAGACAGAGTAGAGTGGGGCTGGATTTTATTTTTTAGAAATGGACACTGCTGATTGGGCTGTGTAAATGGGAACTCTCTCCTGAGAACACACACAGCCTCACCTGCACAGAAGCTCCACATTCACATCACATGATGCGGCCTCACACGAGACACCGCCAATCCTCAAGCACCCAACTCAGTGCCACCCAAAAGTGAATGCAGCTGCTTTGGCCATAATTTTTCAAAATTTGGCCATACTTTTTCCCTGGGGAATTCAGGTTTTTGAAAAACACTTCCACTATGCTTATTCCTATCACAATCCCAGAATCAGGGTGGCTCTTCACATTGAAACCAGCAAGGATGCCACACCTTTCTTGACATCCAGATTTTTTTCTCAGCAAGTAATTCCAGAATACTTACTAGAGTCACACCTCAGAGGGACCACTGGCTGCACCTGCAATACAGAAACAAAGCTTTGTGAGGGGTACGTCGTGTTGCAGATTGTTTGCACAAGGCTCTGTTTCTCTCAGTGACTATTGAAAACTTAATCAGAAAGTGGTCAACTCCAAGGCTCCCAAAACAAGGGTGGGATACACATTGGAAAAGACATCGGCTTCTCCTGGATGTTATATATCTCTCAGGTCAATGTAGGTTGACAAGTCAAAACCCTGAATCCAAGGAGAACACGTTGCTTCCAAGGACAAGGACCCCAAGGATGCAGTCTACAACCTGGAGCCATCATATGAAAATATCATTTTGGATTACATATCAGTTGCTAAGAGTCACTCCTGCCACCCCCTCAGAAAACTGCATTTAATATCTGTAATGTGCATTGTCATTTTTTCACATGTAAAGTTAATTGAAAAAGAAAGATGCCAAGAAAGGAACATCTGTATTTCAGGGAAAGCAAGGCGACCTTACCCACACGTCGACCAGCCTCTCTGCATCTCCTCTGCCGTCATGAGCTGGCGACCCCTCAGAGGCTAGAAGGACACAGAGCAACTGTTAGTCATAGATGCTTTTGATCATGAGCTATTCAGGGAGCTCTGCTTAACGTGGACAACAGGGCAGTGTGTGGCTGCGTTTCATCAACAGCACGGCTTGAGCTGCTGCTAGAAAATCTTCCCTCGTGGAAAGACAGGCAAGAACGAGGAGCCAAGGAGCAGGAAACAGAGTCCCTGGCATTTTGCTGATGGCAACTTAAGGCAACGGGAATGAGTCAGTTTACAAATGGTACTGAAGCACACACTATAATTTGATGAGAGTCCCATTGCTCATACTATGGGGTTTGAAACCCAGCTAACTATTTTTCTAAACCCAACAAAATGATATTAGCTTGTAGGATTTATGTCCCAAGGCCATTTTTACTTCTGTGGATCCACACTGGCTGTCACTGCAGTTATGTGTTTTAGCATTTTGCACTTGAATAAAAGCAAAGTTTAATAGACAGATTGGATTCAATTCTAGGCCAAACAGTCTCTTGTATTTATTCACTAATCCTTTGTTATAACTGCTGATGAGAGAATTAGAAATACTGAAATTATATCCTTCAAAATTAATTAAAGCATAATTATTAATCGCAATTTTCATCCAGACCTCCTTTTCTTTGTCATGCATGCACATTAATTGAGTATGGAGAGTATCTATGCTTGTTCAGGCCAGCCAATGCAGGACTGTTTATTTCAAGAGAGGAGGCATGGGTTGAATGTTAGTATGTTTTAACACTGCAGTACAAACTGTTGCAACAATATGGTGAACTCATCACCGAATGGTTCTTTGCTTCCTTATTTGTCATTGTGCCTTACATTTAGCTTGCAGGATTTGGTTATGGTGATATCTTGTGGTGATAATACTTTCAACTATTCCTAAAATATTGCTTCAGTCTTATCTGTTTGGGGCCAACTGCTGAGGATTTAATACAAATTAATGAAGTTTGTGCATCTGAAGTTCTACACAAAGGGGGAAATATTTACAAATCATTTATCTTGTAAGAGACTAAAATTTGGAATATATTTTAAAACTCCCAAAAATCTACAACAACAAGCTAAATAAAAATCAGACAACTCCTTAAAAATGGGCAAAAGACTTGAACATATATTTCCCTAAAGAAGAAACACACACAGACAATCGCACAGGAAAAGCTGCTCAGCATGATTAGTCATTAGGGAAAGGCAAATGAAAAACACAGGTAGATGCCAATATACACCTACTAGGATGATTTAAAAGAAAATGAGTGTGGACAAGGATGTAAAGAAATTGTAACCCTGATACATCACTGGTAGAAGTGGATAAAGTTGCAGCCACTGTGAAAAACAGTTTGCAGTGGCTTGGAAGGTTAAATATAGAACTCCCGTTGGACCCAGAAACTCTAGTCTTAGGCATATACCCCCAAATAATAGAAAACAGAAATCAAACAGGTATTTCTATACTAATGTTTATAGCATCACTTTTCACAGGCACCAAAAGATGGAAATAACCCAACTTTCAGTGAACAAATGAACGTAACTAAAACAAGGTGGTCTGCAGGCAATGGTGCATCATCCACCTGTAAAAAAGGAACACAGTTTTGATAGATGACACAACATAGCTGGACACTGAAAACATTATGCTTAGTGAAATATGCCAGGCACAAAAGGAATATCTTGTATAATTGTACTTACATGAAGTGCCTAGGATAATCAAATTCATACAAGAGAAACTGGGATAGGAATTACCATGGGCTGGAAATAAGAGAAGGTGCTATATTGCTTATTGCATACAAGGTTTTGTAAGAAATAGTCAAAATTTTGGGTGTAGACAGTGGTGTTGGTTATGCAACACTGTGAATATATTGAATGCCACTGAGTGCACACTTTAGTTAAAAAGTTAAAATGATAAATATTGAGTTATGTATATTTTCCCACAACAGAAAACACACACAGCCAAGCCCAGCTGCCAGACTTGCTGGCTGCCTTCCTTTACCTTCAAGAGTGGGCCGAATCTCCTCTAGTCTCTCAGGGAAGTTGGGAATTCTGTTATTGAAGAACTCTGCATTGGAAGAGAAATTAATGGAGACACGAGAAAACTTGAGAATCCACACTACTCGCTCTGCAGGGCCAAGAACTTTCTGCCCCGTGCATTGCTGATCTCAGTATTTCCTGCGACCACCTCCATTTTCACCTGAAGACTTTGCACCTGAAGGGGCTCCCAGGTTTTTCACCTTGGCCCTTGTCAGGACTGATCCTCTCAGCTACTGTCCATTTCACCTCCATTCATGGCCATGCCATCTCAGGCTGTGCTGTCTAGATGGAATGAAGCCACCCCAAATGTCCCTTTCTGGAGGAAGCCACCATTATGCTGTAACTCCAACACATCCACACACACAGAGGCATCTTGCTCACACAAGATGTGTGTCCTCCAACAAAGTTTCACGCTCTAAACCCAGATAACTTGGAAACTCAAGTTTCATTGATTCCCCATACTTCAGGTGCTCCACAGATGCTCATTTGTCTACAAAGCACTGCCCCAGGCAATTAAATAGTCAAATGTGACCAGCAAAATTCTTATGTTAATTCTGACATTGTGTTGTTAGTCCAAGTGTTTTTACCCCTTAAAATGTATGTCTTTGTTACTAGTACATGTAACTAATAATGCTTTTTCCAGCTATGTTGTTAAGCACATTTATATAAAAATACACTCGTAGATTGTTTAAAGAATTTGACAAAGATGATAGCAACAATGACAATCTTACTTGTTTTATGTTAATCTTTATGTGTTACTGTTATCATTTCTTACATGTTGGGGCATACCATCTATTGTACAGTGAAAATTATTGCTATGCACTATGGTAGGACTAGAAATTGGCAAAGCTAGTTTACAAAATCAGTTCTCTATTTCTTAAAAAAATTTAGGCTGGGCACGGTGGCTCATAGCTATAATCCCAACACTTTGGGAGGCAGAAGTGGGTGGATCACTTGAGGCCAGGAGTTTGAGACTAGCCTGGCCAACACAGCAAATCCCTATCTCTACTGAAAATACAAATATTATCCAGGTGTGGTGGCATGTGCTGCTTGTCCCAGCTACTGAGGAAGTCGAGGCATGAGAATCACTTAAACCCAGGAGGCAGAGGGTGGAGGTTGTAGTGAGCCAAGATCGTGCCACTGCACTCCAACCTGAGTCTCAAAAAAAAAAAAAAATTGACCAAAATGTAATTATGCATTATATGACTGTATATGAATGCTCAAAGCTTCATTACTCATTTAAAAAAAAAAAAAAAAAAAAAAAATGTCCATCAACTGGTAAATGAATAAACACTATCTGTATGAATAAACACAGCAGACTATGAAGGAAAACACACTACCACTATGTGCTAAAGCATCAATTAACTTCAAACATAGTATGCTACATGAAGGAAGTCAGAGTCCAAATATATGTGTGTGTATATATATATATATATATATAAGTATCTATCTATCTATCTATCTTGGGAGAGGGAAACATTTTTAAATTAGATCATGGTGATGGGTACACATAGTATCAATTTAATAAAGCATCAGATTGCAAACCTTTATAGTGGGTGAACTTTATTTAGGTTCACACCCAATATAGGTGTTAAAAATAAATGTTATGGAAATTCTTGTCTGGTTTTTAACAAGCCAAGAGATAGGCTGTTAAAGCAGCATTAATTCAAATGGTTGTCATAGGTCACTTAAAGTTTAATAACATAGGTGTCCTGTAAATACACGGTGAATGTTATTCGTGAATTTCCTGAATCTATTGCAATAATCACATTTTTTCTCCATTAACCTCTTGAGGTAGCTAATTTTATTTATTGCTATAGGAAATAAAAATAAATAAAAGTTTCCTCTTCAAAGCTTTCCTCTTAGTTCATTACAAATAAATAATAGTCTTTTCAAAGGTTAATCTACTTTAAAGTTTTTGCTAATAATCTTAAAGTAGCTGTTAGTCACAATCAAGAAATAGTGCATCCTGTGTTCCTAGTTCTTACACTTTAACCTAGATATTTGCCCTGACATGCCTGGACAAGCCCAGGCAAGTCTTAGGCCAAAGCTTATTCCCTTTCCTTATTTGAAAATGTTATCGCTTCTCTAAGCATTCTTCATATTACTTTCTCTTTTCCTTCTGTTCTCCTCTGCCTTTAATTCTTTACAAAATTTCCAAGTTTTTAGCCAGCCAGGTCAAGCATAGAATGTGAGGTCCCGTTCTGGCCAATGGAAACTGGACACAGCAGTAGGGTGAATGCATCGGGTTATGAAAGTCATAAATGTCCCTGCCTTCTTGTTCAGGTGTGCTCTCGTGGCAAGACTTGCACCCTTCCTGCAAGAAGGAAACTAGCCTTGCTGAGTGATCCATTGTTTCGGTGTGGATTTTTCCCAATGTTATAAATCTGTTTCCAACATTGCATTTTCAATGTTAATCCATCATTTCATATTTTGAGATATTAACTCTCATTAGTCAGAATTTATGGTATTTTTAAATATCACAGATTTTAATTTCCTTATCTGGTTTTGGTTTCAAGACTATGCTAGCCATTTCATTTAATTGTACATGTAGGGTATTCTGATTTATAGAAAACTATTATATTTTCTTTGATTTTTTTTTTTTTTTTAGAAATTACTTCTAGGGATTTATATGAGGCAGAGTCCATCAAGAATTGTTTTAGTTATTCATGTCTTCAATGGGTATAGGATTGGTCATGTTTTTCTGCTCAGATTTCAACAGGAAACCTTCCCCCTCAGCATGTAGGTTGCAGGTAGACACGACTATTCCCATTTTCTAAATGGAGACTAAGTGGCAAACCCCACATATGTTGGGTATGTGGAAGAACCTAAACAGTGGGATCTTTGAGGGAACCTGAGACAGAGCAAGGCAAGCTAAGAAGCAGGGCAGTGCCGCAGCAGAACTGCTATTGATGCCCCCTCGCCTAGATTCCAGAAGAGACATCCAGCTGTAGACAACCGCAGTGTAGAAAAACACTGTAGCAACCAGCACCCAGCAGAGAACGCAGTGCCTGGGAACAAGGAGGCACTGACTGTGGCAAGGGGAAAAGACAGCTGCCACCAGGCTATTCACATGAGGGTCTCAGGCTGCAAAGACACACACACCTGCTGAGGGGTCCTGGTTTTCATAAACGGCCTGGTTTTCATAAAGGCTGGGCCAGGCCACCAACAAGCAGTTAACAAACAGTAATCTGACACTTTCCAAAGACCTTCCATGAGTAACACGGTGATCCTCACAAATTTCCAATCAGGATGGTCGTACAGTTCCTCCTGCTGTAGGACACAGAGCCTGCCCTTGGTCACAGCGGGTGGGTGCAGACTCTGAAGACGAACTTCGGTCAGAGACCCCACTGAGCCCTGTCTACTGAGGGCCTCTGTCCTGTCTGCTGACCACAGTCCACAGGTGCAGGCTGCATTGGGGAGTAAGAATGTCATCTTCTCAATGTTGGGAAAACTCCCTGCTGGAACTGAGAATGGCCCTTTCTAAGCAGAAGGCAAGGTCAGACTACAGAAGGAAGCAGACCACATCAGGTTGGCATGTTGCCAAAGATTCACTCAGGGAGTGCCCACATCCTGGACCATGCTGTGTGGTGGCAAGATGAAATAGATCACCGCTTTTGCAACACACACCTGACAACAAAAAATCAACAGCTGTAAGAGAGCCAGAAAATCCCCAAATATTTGCAAATTAGCAATGCACTTTTAAATAACTCATGTGTCAAAAGAGAAGTATCAAAATTAAAAATATCTTGAATTTCACTAAATGAAAATATGACTTGACAATTTTTCTGGATGTAACAAAAGCAGTTCTTAGAGGGAAATTCATAGCATTGGATGTAATATATTTGAAATCACCAGATCTAAAATCAGTAATATTACGTTTCTATCAAGAAAGTGTGGAAAATAAATGAATGCAATGTAAAGCAAGTAGAAGTAGTAATAACATCACAGAAGTCAGTAAAATTAAAACACTGAAATCATCAGAAAATCAATAAAACCAAAAGTCGGTTCTTTGGGATGCTCCTTACAATTAATGAAAATCTATGCAGACTAACAAAGAAAAAAGATAACACAAATTACCAATTTCACAAGTAAAAGAGGGGCCATCTCTACTGAACTGTTGGCATTAAAAGAATAATCAAGGAATATTATGAACAATTCTATGACCACAGTTTGATAACCTCAGTGAAATGTATTAATTCCTTGAAAGACAATCTTCCCAAGGTTATGCTAGAAACCTAGATCATCTGAATAAGCTTACGTCTATTAAGTAAGTTGAATTCACATTAAGAGCATGCTGGGAAAAAAAGCACCAGACCCAGATGGTTTCTCTTATGAAATCTATCAAATTCTTCAAGAGGTAAATAAAAAGATAAAAATCCATTTAATGCAATATTATTTGGTGATTTGATGTACCATTTAATGCCATTAAGGTATACAAAAGACATAGAGGAAGCTTAAATATGCATCAATTTAGTGAAATGAATTCATCTGGAAAAGCTACATAATATATAATTCCAACTATATGACATTCTGGAAAAGGCAAAACTGAAGCAACAATAAAAATATTAATAGTTGCCAAGGATTCTGGAGAAAGAGGACAGAGATTAATGAGCGAGAAGAGGGAATTTTTAGGGAGGTGGACATGTTCTTTACAACACCATAATGGTGAATATAACGTTATAGATATTTCAAACTTCATATAAATGTATAGCAGAAAGAATAAACATTATGCAAATGATAGACTTCAGATAATAATGTGTCAATATTTTCTCACTACTTTTAGCAAGTGTACCACAGTAATGCAAGATGTTAATAATAGGTGAAATTATGAAGTGGGCTTGGGGGGACAGAATAATACCGGAACTTTGTGTATCACACGCTTAATTTTTTTTTCACAAAAGTTCACTCTTATTGCCCAGGCTGGAGTGCAATGGCACAATCTCGGCTCACTGCAACCTCCGCCCCCCGAGTTCAAGGGATTCTCCTGCCTCAGCCTTCTAAGTAGCTGGGATTACAGGTGCCCGCCACCACACCTGGCTAATTTTTTGTATTTTTAGTAGAGACGGCGTTTCACCATGTTGGCCAGGCTGGTCTGCAACACCTGACCTCAGGTGATCCACCTGCCTTGGCCTCCTAAAGTGCTGGGATTATAGGTGTGAGCCACAATGCCCAGCCATATGCTCAATTTTTATGTCAATTTAAAACTCTCCAGTTAAAGAAATATATGAATTTAAAAATAATAATATAGCACCACTCTTTCAGGGAGATCTACGCTAATGTTTAACAACCAGGTAAGTTCCAGACATTAGCTTGAAACACTGTCTATCATTAAACATGAACCAAAATTGACGTTTAAGTGGATATTTACTTCCGTGGTTGTAGCAACACTTACTGACTAGCAATACTTCTGACACGTTAAAAAATGTGGCTTACTCTCATCATCATTTCCTCTTATGTATGGAACACTGAATACTCCCCACAATTGCGATTCTTGAATCTACTTAATTAATGAACTTCCGCAGTACCTTCCTGTGGGTACACCTGCTTCTTTGCCCAGAAGCCGCGACGCTTCCCATGCCTGGTGGAGTACACGCTGTATCTTCTTAAAACCTCTATCAGAAAAGATGCTGGTTATGCATTTACAATAGAGAGGGCTGTTGACATCTTGCCGACAGAGGGAAAATAGTGATAATCTGTTCTAGGTTTAAATTTATGATCCTGTTCTTTACAGGCTTCCATGCAGAGCCCACTGACTCAAAGTTGGGTTTCAGGAAGATCATGGAGTTCGGTGAACACGCAACATCCCTATCAGACTGACTGTGTGGGCAGTGCCTTCCTGGAGAAGAGAATACAGCAGGATGACTGCATGTGGGGCTGGTGCAGAGTAGGGGCCCAGATCCAAATTCCACTAAGCCACGTGGACCTGGCAAGCTCACACCGTCCTCCTGCCCTCAGTTCTCTGCACTGTCACAATGCAATTTTACCAATACTTACAGGCCCTACTTCTTAGTATCACAGTATGAGGCTAAAAAGTCACTCAATGCAGGAAAACCTTAAAGAGGACTGGTAGTTCAGTAGTGTTCTCTCAGTGTTTACTAAGAACCAGGAGGAATAAGCTGGACACTCAGTAGTGGCTGAATACGGAGAGGGTGCTTGGATGGCTCCGGGGCAGTGGAGCATGGTTTACTGTTCAGCTTTTACATGAGCATGATGCCTTATGGCGTATGGAGAACACCAGCCCTGCAGGGAGGGCAGAGGAGGGGCCGTGGCTGAGATTTTACACTTGAGGGTGCTGACATTCAGAGATGATTTAAGTGACGAGCAGAATCCTGACCCTGATGAGTGAAGGGTCTGGGATGGGAAATGTATTTGGTTCCCTAGAGACAGAGATTCCTGAACAACTGATACCCCTACATCACGCTCTGGGCCAGAGACCCAAGAGACCCCCTCACTGTGTTTCTCCAGTCCTCCTAGCCCGAAGTGTGTGGGTGGACACAGGTGATGCTGTGGGAAAGATGCCTGAGTTAAGGAGAGGTCCTGCATTGTAAAGAATCCTCCTTCCTCTATCTTTCACATCCCTCCCAATATGACAGTTTATTTAAAGGCTGTCATCTTTGTGGCCCTCCTGTACCTCCCTTCACCCTGTCAGCTGCCTCTCAGTGACCATCTCCTCCAGTGACTACACTGAGGGCCCAGGATCTGCTTGCCTCCCAAGACTGCTCAGACCTTCTGACATTGCAAAGTAACTGTCAAAAGATGGGTCTGCAAAGAGTAACTTCCCTTCTACTGATCAAACCTGAATACACAAGCCACTGTGAATTAACTGGAAAAGTGGCCATGTGAGCTGGTGCTTTGGTGGTTTAATTAATTAAGTCTGCAACTCCGACTGCCTCCTTGACTATTGATCAGAGCTGCCTGTAATAAGGTCTGGCTAAGAACGAGCAGTGGCTGCACCAGCAATGGGCGTGCACTTCCTCTTCTCATTCTTTTCACATCAAAATTCAGTTTCTAATTTACAAACTCCACATCCATCCCTAGACCCTGCTGTGGCAGAATACAGAGTCCTGTCTCTTCTTAGAGAGGCCTCTCCATAGCCACAGGATCCCCTCTGACATTCACCCAAGCTCTTTTTTTCTGTCACCAAGTGTCCCTTCCATGAACCCAGTGGCCTGCCTCTCTTCTCCCACCTCTTTAACAGTGATCTGAGAAAGCTGCTGATTCTCTCCCCATGAACCCCATGGAAATCCCCCCGTAAAATCCCATTTTTCTTCCTTTCTGAAAAAAAAAAATCTGATGCTAGATTGCTAATTTTTGTTTTCAGAGTTTGACATCTACCTTCAGAAAACCGTTTCTGTCCTTCCCCTTTTCTGTAATGTCTGTTATTGCAGGAGGGCAACCAAGATTCTCTAGAAAGAACCAAGTAATAAGGCTGTGCCTACTCTGTGTATTCTCTGGAAGTGCCTTCACAAGATTGGTGTTATGTTTATTTTACTATTTTGTAGAAATAAAAGGAAGCCACGTGGTCCTGATATTTGCATTGTCAGTTTTAAAGACCCTTATATTTTTAGTTGTCTTTGTCAAAACTCTATAGATTTTTTAAAATGTACATCTTGATGTTTTCTTCTAGGTACTATAAACATACATATTACCCACATTATTGATTTCTCTGCATTCTTCTGTGACCCTCTGCTTGCTCTCAGAGAGATCCTAAATCCAGAAATGGAGACCCACATGCCTGTTTGAAGAGACCTCGTCTTCCTTTCTCAGAGCCTTCTGTGTGGCTTAGAGACAACCATGTCCCCGGCTTTAAGGGTGGCTCCATATCACAGAGACAACTTAGACCTTGCTTCTCAGAAGTCCCAATAGTCTTCAGAGGAACCCCCATTCTTACACAGTCTTCGGAGGAACCCCCATTCTTACACAGTCTTCAGAGGAATCCTCATTCTTACACAGTCTTCAGAGGAACCCCCATTCTTACACAGTCTTCAGAGGAACCCCCCATTCTTACACAGTCTTCAGAGGAACCCCCCATTCTTACACAACTAGGTCATCCAGGTCTCAGGCAAAAGCCCTCAGTATTTTGTAAAATTTGAGCCATCACAACTTTACAAGCTTTTGTGTTATTACAAAGCTTTGTCGTCTTTGAGTAAGGATTTTAGCAACAGTGACCTGGTTAGTGAGCAATAGAAGGGACTACGGGGAGGTGTGCAAAGAACACACTGACCAACATTTCACCTAAAATGACCAGTCTCATTCACTAAGCTCTCCGTAGTCTTACGGGTTCAATGGACCTGTCCAATCCTTTGCTCTGTTCCCTCCGTCAACTTCCTGTGTAATTGCCCTCCACCATGCATGTAGTAGAAACATGGCACAGGGGAGCTAATCATGTCTTTTATTTTTCCCTTTCAGGGTCGCACATAAGTTTATAGAAAAGACTTTTCAAATGAATGCCTTAACTGCTGCTACGGCATGTATCATCAGTTGAATAAAACCTCTCATGTGACTTTAAGCAACGCTTTATTGAGAGACAAGAGTCAATACTAGGGATAGTATTCTAGTGTAGTAAATCATTGATTTTACATTATGAAGATGATCAATTATTGAAATTGTGTAAATAATGAAGCCCAGCCTTAGTCTTCAGTGCTGTGTGTGTAAATCTACTGAGTGTGCTGACCGCCATGCTTGTACCCACCTGCTAACATAGGGAGGGTCCATTCAGGAGGGAGGCAGGGCTCCAGCACGGAGGCTCTCCATGCCAGCTTCACAGGAGAGTTGCCACAAGGGTGACAGACACCCAGGTAACAACCAAGGGGTAATTTGAGTGCTTAATGGTCGTGATCCCTGAAGTGTGTAGCTCAGAGGGCTTGAGGTGATAACTTTGTCCAAGACTCTAAAGCATCTCCCGATTCTTACTGGACTTGAGCCATGTCTTGAGGAGAGACCCAGGTGTGACACAAAGGCATCACATTGTCCTACTTAGTGCCTTCCTTAGTGTTTCAGAACCCGTGATTGGATCAGAACCATGGGCTTTCTCTGTTGGTTTCACACTAAGGACTATGTGAAACCTGCAGGAAGATGCCTAGGTAGCTACCTGGATTATGAGATCACTGAGGCTCTCTTATGTGAGGGATGGCAAGTGGGATCTCTGCAGGCTTGGGTAATTCCAGGCATAGAGGGGTGCGGGGACTCCCTTGCATGGTGAATAGTGATCCCTTCACTGGCTAATAAATAGAGGTTGTTGTTCAGGCCTTCGACATTGGGACCATGTGAGTAATGCTGGCTCTTCACTTCGTAGCAAGTGAGCCAGGGCACATGTACTTCTGTGGCTTAGTTTCTCCATCTGGTATGTGGGTTCAATAAACAAGCCCATGACTCATGGCTGTGATAAGGTTTGAACTAATGTTAAGTAAAGTATGTGGTCTGATTTTTTTAATTAAGAAAAATGGCATTGAGAGTTGTGCTGGGTAAGCAAAACACTTTTTTCCTAGGGCAAATACACAGACATATATTCACAAGCAAATCATTCAGACTTGCACATAGATCACTGTCCCCCAGCCTGGCCCTAATACTCACCCCCCATCACAACCTAATGGGAACACAGGTTTCCAGGAACTATGCATAGATAAAAAGGGTTTGTCCCCTGGAAGACCAGTTTCTTTTTCTATACCCTACATCCTCATTTCCACCACATTCCCATCTGAAGATCATGGGGGATCTTCAGACAAAAGCCAGCTGTTAAGCTCCACATTTCCTGTATAATTTATTCTAACAGCCAGTGAGTGATTCCAGAATACATACCATGGATGGTGCTCACTGAGGCCACCTGTAATTAGGGAAGAAAAACACTCTGAGAATCAGGCTATGCTATGCACAGTTCACACAGGTCTTCTGTTTACTTGGAAACTCTGGGTAACCAGATGGGAAAAAAATGTTCAAATCAAAAGCCCCAACTTTAAAGCAGAGTTCCCTTAGGAAGGCACAGGAGCTTTTCCTGAAGAATGTTTCCACCTAGATGATTTTTGGGTAGCCACTACGAAATTCTTGTCTAAAATGGAAAACTCGTTCCTGAAGAAAATATCCTTTAACACGCAGTGTGCTGTCTACACTGCCAGTTTTGTGCTTCCTCTGGAATCAGGTGTCAGTTGGTAAGCTACACCTCCTCCACCCCCAAGGAAACATTATCGAACACTTATAAAGTACTGGATAATTTTCCCATAGCTGATATCAACTGAAAAATATAGAAAGCAGTAAAATAACATTTACTTCTTAGGCAAAGACAGGCTACTTTACCGTGGTAGTGGAGTACGGCTTCGTTATTACCAGCTTTTTGGAAGACACCTTTGAGTGACCTAGGGGAAGTGGAAGGACACAGCATGGCTGTCAGTTCATTGGTGGCGGTACTCATGAATAACTCAGGGACTAGAACTTAGGGGTGTGCCTGGTTAACAAGCATGGATTGAGCTTCTCCTGGACCATCCTCTTCATGGACCAAGGAAGGCAAAGAAAGAACAGGAAGGAAATGAGAGTACAGCCTTTGGTTTTTCAGGTAATGGCAAGTGAAAGCAACATGAAATAATCAAACTCCAAATGAGCAAATACTAAAATACACGATAGGATTCAACCACAGAGCACGGTTGCTTCTTCAGGCCCTTTAAAAGCCCAGCAGGACTGCCACTGCTTTCCTGACATCTACCAAGTCCCTTTCAACCTCCACAGACCCACACACACTGCTACTGCATTTACCGGGGAGGGTGCAGGGTTCTGCCCTTGTTTATGTGTGAATTTTTTTAAAATTAGATTTAATACCATGCATCAGCATTCATTATATTTATTTATTTTCTTTGTTATAAATATCATGGGCCAGGCGCAGTGGCTTACACCTGTAATCCCAGCACTTTGGGAGGCTGAGGTGGGTGGATCATTTGAGATCAGGAATTCAAGACCAGCCTGACCGACATGGTGAAACTCCATCTCTACTAAAAAAAAAAAATACCAAAAATTAGCCAGGCATGGTGGTGTGTTCCTGTAGTCCCAGCTACTCAGGAGACTAAGGCAGGGGATTCCCTTGAACCCGGAGGCGGAGGTTGCAGTGAGCTGAGATTGTGCCACTGCACTCCAGCCTGGGTGACAAAGTCAGACTCCACCTCAAAAAACCACCACCACAACGAAAGCCCCTCCCCCCAAAAAAATCCATTATTAAAGATTAGAAAATACTGAAATACTTATATTTTAAAATAACCACTATAATCATACATTTTACTTTCAGTCTTCCTTTAGCTTGTGTTTGCAGTCATTGTGTGAGAGACTGCCTGTGTTCACCCAGGCAACCCACAGTGAGAGAGGGCATAGCAGGGAGACGGTCCCCGATGAGCTCTGAGGCTCTTCAAACCAGCTGCCAAGGGAGTTGCAGCTAGGGTGATACGTGAGGCTAATTGTTAAGTGGTATTTTGTGTTCTTACTCGTCTTGTTCCCAAGTTGTATAGCTCACGGACTTTTTCTTTTTTTTTTTTTTTTTAGCATTTCTATAGGGGTCATTTGAAGTTCATAATGTCATCAAATATCAATAAAGGGTCTTCCCATTAGTTCTAGGCTTTGGGATCTGTGCTGAGGTGTGGCCAAGCACTGAAAGAATGTGACTGGTTGTTCCAAGTGTCCTCCAACCCAAAACCTGCAACCAGTTCAAAAGCCTTTGTGCTTTTATGCGTCTTTCACACTAAGACTATGCCACATCTTAGCTATTCACGTGCTAATACCTGCCCTGAGCTATGTGACCATGGACGCCACCCTGTAATGTGGCTAGTGTGAAGGAACTCTGCAGACTCAGGTAATTCCAGACATATACGTAGATGTTGGAACTCCCTTGCACAGTGACTCATGATCCCACGGCTGAGTGCTGAGGGCAGGTCAGTAGTTCAGAGCCTCAGCATTGGGGCCGTATGCTTGGGTTCCCCCTTGGCTCTTTTGCTTAGGGGCTCATAAGCTTGGCACATTCATCTCTGTCTTTTTCTGCCCAGTGAAAGGCGATAGTAAATCAATCATGCCCTATGTCTGTGGTGACAGTCAAATGATTCAAGGCAGGTAAAGTATACAGTTTAACTGCTCATGAGGCTTAATTATCAGTGAAATGTCTTGCTTTAGATTTCACAGATTAATAAGCCTCAGAGACTCATTCAAGCCCAGGATTCTGAACTCCTAAGCCATTGTTCTATGACATATACACCTGCTTGGCCTAAAACCAACCACTTTATCATAATTCAGACCCGGTTTTGAAAGAAGCAGATAAAGAAGCACGCACTCAGTGCACTCCACACAAAGGACACCACTGTCTTCCACAATGGCTCAGTGGCCTGGCTGGCACAGACAGTGGCAGAGTAAAGGGCAAGAGATCCTTAATCCCGTCACCATGGTGAGAGGGCATCACAGATGTTTCAGGGTGAAGGCACAATCCACATTGAGAGGTCCAGCTGCTGCCATGCCAACAAGTGTGTTTTACACGTACAGGAAGCTCACTGAAGATAAGTGTTTTATATCCACGGTCAATAGATGATATGACCATGAAATGAAACACCAGTGTGCTGGGTGGAGTAGCTTATCTATTAAGTCTTCTGCACTAAACCTGTGAAACGATATCATCTTGCCTTATTTACTAACAAATACAAGTGCCTCTAAACTTCGACAGTTTCTAAGTCATGGAACTGATGAGCACTTAACCCCCGGTGAGAGTCCTGGAAGATGGGATGGGAGAACTAAGTCACACAATACATCCAAACAGCATTAACAGCTAAACAGGGTTTCAAAGCTGCAGCTCTCTACATGCAAACTTACACAATTATCCCTTTATTAATTTTTATCTTCATATATATGTACATGATCTACTTGTACATAGAGAGTATAAATAAAATAAATAAAACTATGTTCCTAGTTAACAGTCACTACCAATTCATTTAAAAAAAGAAAGAAAGGAATAAAGAAGCAGCAGACACTGGTGAGGCTGTGGAGAGATAGGAACGCTTTTACACTGCTGGTGGGAATGTAAACTAGTTCGACCATTGTGAAAGACAGTGTGGTGATTCCTCAAAGACCTAGGACCAGAAATACCGTTAGACCCAGCAATCCCATTATGGGGTATATACCCAAATGAATACAAATCATTCAATGATAAAGATATATGCCAGCACTATTCACAATAGCAAAGATGTGGAATCAACCCAAATGCCCATCAATAATAGGCTGGATAAAGAAAATGTGGTGCATATACACCATGGAATATTATGCAGCCATAAAAGGGAATGAGTTCATGTCCTTTGCAGAGACGTGGATGGAGCTGGAAGCCATCATCCTCAGCAAACTAACACAGGAACAGAAAACCAAACATTGTATGTTTTCACTTATAAGTAGGAGCTGAACAATGAGAACACATGAACACAGGGAAGGGAACATACATGGGGGCCTGTCAGTGGGGTGTGGGAGGCTGATCATCAGGAAAAATAGCTAAAGCATGCAGAACTTAATACTTAGGTGATGGGTTGATAGGTTCAGCAAACTACCATGGCACACATTTTCTATGTAATAAACCTGAACATTCTGCACATGTACCCCAGAACTTAAAATAAAATAAAATTTTAAATGGCCTTCAAAAAATTACACTATGATTCAGCATCCAAATGAAAAAAAAAATAGAGGTACATTTTATTGTGTGAAAATCCTCAAAACCATCTGTACCACTGTGGCTTTGCTCCAAACTTTTTGAAACTAATGATTTAATAGGTTCTTAATTAGGTTAAAAACTACATTAAAATAGACTTTGCCATATTCTCTCCATGGGAATAACTTTTGGGAGAGGAGCATTGAAGGGTGCAGGATGTAAAAGGAAATGATATATATGTTTTAAATGAAGAAAAAGTTCAAAGGCACCCTGCTTGATACAAGAATCAAATATATAAGTTGAGGAATAAAACATAACCATGAAACATATTTATAACTGCATATGGAAAATACAGAGGATAATTTTTTAAATAACATATTTTGAAAATATTCTAGTAATTTGAAAAGACAGCATTTGACAGGCCAGTAGGAACATACCTCGAATGCAGGAAAACAGGTTCCCCATAAGAAAAATCAAAATCAGGGAAAATGAAAGCAGAAAGATTCAACCTGCTCTGACCTTTAAAAAAGTCAAACAGACACTGGCCCTTAGGACTTACGGCAAGAGATACCTAATCCCATCACCATGGTGAGAGGGCATCAGAGACATCTCACGGTGAAGGCACAATCCACACTGTGAAGTCCAGCTGCTGCCATGGAGACAAGCGTGCTTGTACATGTACAGGAAGCTCATTGAAGGCTAAGCGTTTTATTTCAAAAATGGAATCAGCCTACACATTATTCTTCTGTGCTACATAAAATAAGTTATGAGATGGGAAATAGTGTCCCCCAAATATAGCCAAGAGTGAAAATTTCAAATTGAAGAGGGGCACAAGTGTTACGTTGAGAACAGAGATTTCATTTTGTTTTTTTCTTTTTCAACTTTTATTTTGGATTCAGGGTGTACATGTGCAGGTTTGTTACCTGGGCATACTGTGTGGTGCTGAGGTCTGGGGTCTGAATGATCCCAACCCCCAGGTACTGAACATAGTACTGAGCAGTTTTCAACTCTTTCTCCCCTTCCTCCCTCCCCCTCCTAACAGTCCCTAGGGTCTATTGTTACCATCTTCATGTCTATGGGTACTCAGAGTTTAGCTCCTACTTAGAAGAACATGAGACATGGTTTTTTTTCTGTTACTACATTAATTCACGTAGTTGACTTCCAGCTCTAGCCATTTTCCTGCAAAGGACACCATTTCATTCTTTTTCTGTGACTGCATAGTATTCCATGGTCTCTGTGTAGCACATTTTTATCCAGTCCACTGTTGATGGGCACCTAGGTTGATCCCATGTCTTTGCTATTGTGAATAGTGCTGCAATAAACATACGAGTGCATATGTCTTTTTGGTAGAATGATTTGATTTCTTTTGGATACATATTCAGTAATGGGATTGCTGGGTTGAATGTTAGTTCTGTTTTACATGCTTTGAGAAATCTCCAAACTGCTTTCCACAGTGGCTGAACTAACTTACATTCCCACCAACAGTGTATAAGCATTCCCTCTTCTCCTTAACCTTGCCAGTATCTGCTGTTTTTGACTTTCTAAAAATAGCCCTTCTGACTGGTGTGAGATAATATCTCATTGTGGTTTCGATTTATATTTCTCTCATGATTAGTGATGATGAGCATTTTTTCCTATGTTTGTTGGTTGCATGTATGTCTTCTTGTGAGAAGTGTCTATTTATGTCTTTTGTCCATTTTTAAATGGGGTGATTTGTTTTTTGCTTGTTGAA